GTCCAAGGCCAGGTTGGATGGGGCTTGGAGCAACCTGGGCTAGTGGAAGGTGTCCCTGCCCATGCCAGGGGTTGGAACAAGATGGGCTTTACAGTCCCAACCCAAAGCATTCTGTGATTCCACGATTCTGTGATTTGGTGCTTTCCTTGTTTTAATTGGCTCCTCCACAATGAGCCCCCTCATCCAGGCTGGGAGCCTGTGGAGAAACATCGGTGTGTCCCTGGCAGATGTTGGCTTCTTTTCCTGCTGTGCTGACAGGGCAGGCCAGGACTGCCCAGGTGATGGACCAACACAACCATCTGCTTTGTCAGGACAAATGTCCCCAGTAGAGACCAGCCCCACCACAACAGTCAGGTGGGTGGAATCCACAGTCGCTCACAGGCTTCTGAAACATCTGATGCAACTTCCAGGGAGTCCAGGCACGTTTTGTGCCAGCAGTGACTGCCCTGTCCAGCCAGCAGGACCTGTGCAAGCACTGCCAGCAGCTGCTCAGATGTTGTTGCAGGGTCTTCTCCCATTTTTCACACCCCAGAGATACCAACCTGCTGCTGGGAGCCCCGAGTCGCTGCTGTGCCTGGAGAGGCTTGGCTGTCTCTGTGACTCCCAGTTTGGGGTTGTTCTGGGGCTGCTGCAAAAGTCTGAATGTGTTACCAAAAATGCCATTATTACTGGTGTTGATTTTGTGGTGCCACCACGGCAGGCACACGAGTTTTGGGATACTCCCTGTCCAATCCTCCTGTGTGGACCTGCTCCAGCTCCCTTCCGTGGTCTCTGATCTGCCCAGGGAGAGGGGGAGATGCTGGAGACAGACTGAGTCGTTGTGCCTGTTTGCCTCGAAGGTGTTGAACTGAGCAAAGCTGCTCTCTGAGACATCTGACCTCGTGGTCCCACCAGTGGTACCGTGGACACTCGAGACTGGGCTCTGTGGGGGCTCTGCAAAGGCCACTGGTGCCTAAACACTGGGGCAGTGGAGTGCTTGTGCACCTTGAGCCTCTGGGAATCCAGCCAAGGAGGCAGAAGTCCCTCTGAGCTTTTGTGGGGATTCTGCAGGATTCCCATGGCAGGAGGGACTCTTTGGGAAGCTGCTGCTCCTTTGTTTCACAAGGATCTGGATATTGCAGGTCCTGTGCTGGACGGGAGTCAGGGAGGGACAGACCAAAGGCTTTGGAGTGATGAAGCTGCTGCAGCTCTGAGGGAGTTCCCAAGGCAGAATTCAGTGATGAAACTCCTCAGTGACCCAGTTCTTTATCTGCACTTGCCCTCCCCCTGGGGAAGTGGGCTGCCTCTCTAACCGAATTTACCAGCTGGAGTTTCCTAAGTGAGTTGTTTGAGGTTTTCTGAAAGAAACTGTCGTTGCTTTTATCAGTTCATCGGAGCATGAATTGAAGAACAGGAGCTTTAGGAAGAGAAGCAGCAACTGGAAGGTTTTGGGGTCTGCCCAGAGCCGGGGTCCATGTCTGAAGCTGGTGCCTGCCTGGCTCCCTCTCTCCTGGTGCTTCCATCCTCCCTCCTCAGCTGAGCTGTGACCAGGTGTGTGTTGTCTCTCTGCCTCCGGGAAAATGTAGCTGTGGCAGTCACAGACCCACCCTTTAGCAAAGTCTCCCTAACTCTGCTGGTTCCCCAGCACCAGGCAGGCTGCACAGCAGAGCTCACTGAAGTGTCCTTGAGAAAGGTGTAAGACCTTCAGGCTGTTGTAGCTGAACACAAAAGGCAAAAAAGGAAACAAACAAACGAACAAAAAAGGTAAAATTCAAATATAATCCAGGTGTTCTGCTTCGCATCCTTTGCTTCTAATCACTGTGCCCAGGGGTGGATGGCACCTCCTGTTTCCATACTCCAGAGGAGCAGCATCTGATCTCTCCTCTGAGCACAAGGTGAGGAGCACAAGGGTTTGGTGCTTGTGTGGGTGCTCAGCAGAAGGCTCAGCCAGACCCATGGCCTTTCCCATACACTGTGATCTGGGAGCAGGATCATGGTCTCCAGGGAAAGTGAACATTCAAGAGACAAAGCATCTCCCAAACCTCCCATTTCGTGGTTTCTGAAGCGGTTTGAGGGCAGTTTTTTTGGAGAGCAGTTTGGAGTGGTGCTTCTCAGGGGTCAGTGTGTTTAACATCCTTGTTGGTGACACGGACAGTGGGATCCATGGAGCCCCAGCAGGTGTCCCAGTGACACTGAGCTGTGGGTGCTGTCACACACTGGAGGGAAGGGATGGGGCATCCAGAGGAGCCTGGACAGGCTGGAGAGGTGGGGCTGTGCAAACCTCGGGGAGGCCAAGTGCAATGTGCTTCACCTGGGTCAGGGCAATGCCAGGTGTGAATCCAGGCTGGGGGAGAATGGAGGGAGAGCAGCCCTGGGGGAAGGGCTTGGGGATGTTGTGGATGAGAAGCTCTACATGACCCAGCCCAGAAACCCCCCGTGCCCTGGGCTGATCCCACAGCAGACCCCCCTGCAGAGCTGCCTCCAGCCCTGGGAACCACATCAGAAGGACATGGAGCTGTTGGAGCAAGTCCAGAGGAGGCCATGGAGATGCTCCAAGGGCTGGAGCCCCTCTGGAGCCAGGCTAGGAGAGCTGGGGGGTTCACCTGGAGAAGAGAAGGCT